CATCTCCTTGCTGGCTTCCGTAACAGCGACATATTCTGCTTCAGTTATGGAGAGAACAACTATCTACTGTAGTTGAAAAACCCAACTCACTGTAGTACCTCCTAGAGTATAGACATACCCTATAGTGTTCCTTCTGATGTCAATATTTCCGACTAAGTCGGCATCTACATAGCATGTCAGTATCGTATCTCCACCTTTGACACAAAGTACTTTGTTTGTAGTACCCCGCAGATATATGAGGATCCATTTGACTGCTTCCCAGTGTACCTTGCCTGGATTATTCATGTACATGCTAACATCTCCCACTGCATGAGCAATATCTGGTCTAGTACAAACCATGGCATACATCAGACTTCCAATTGCTGAGGTATACGACACCTTCACCATGGGTGCATGTTCTTCCTCCGTCTTTGGTGATTGTTCTTTGGAGAGTCTAAAATGAACACCTAAAGGTGTACTTTCTGGTTTAGCATCTTGCATGTTGAACTTGGAGAGTATTTTGTTAATGTACTCAGCTTGTGATAACATCAAAGTCCCCGACTTTGTGTCTCTCTTGATCCTCATCCCAATAATCTGCTTTGCAGTGCCCAGATCCTTCATAGCAAACTGCTTCGATAATTTTTGATTCAAGTGTATAATCTCTTGCATGTCTGAGCCTGCAACGAGCATGTCATCAACATACAATAATAAAATAATAAAGCTGTTGTCGAACCTCTTGATGTAGCAACAATGATCTGTTTGGCATCTGGTAAAACCATTGCTACTCATGAAGCTATCGAACTTCTTGTACCACTGTCTAGGAGCTTGTTTTAAACCATACAAGCTCTTCTTCAACATGCATACCAGGTTTTTCTTGTCTGCCTCTACGAAGCCTTCTAGCTACTTCATATAGATTTCCTCCTCCAAATCACCATGAAGGAAAATTGTGTTCACATCTAACTGCTCAAGATGTAGTTTTCTGCAGCTACAATTTTCAACACAAGTCTAATTGTAGACAACTTCACAACTGGAGAGAAAATTTCATTGTAGTCAATACATTCTTTTTGCTAAAAACCTTTGACAACCAATCTTGCTTTGTAGTGTTTGCTCCCATCGTGCTCTTCTTTGATCCTGTAAATCCACTTGTTATGGAGAGCTTTCTTGCCTGGTGGTAATTCAGCTAATTCCCACGTCTGATTTGACATAAGCGAGTCCATCTCATCTTTCATGAAAGACTCCCACTTGACTGAATCCTCCACCTGCATTGCTTCATCATAGCACTCTGGTTCACCATTGTCAGTCAGCAACAAGTAATGCAAAGAAGGCGAATAATGTTGGGTTGGTTTAGGAATTCTGGAGAAGCGTCTTAGTTTTGGTGTGCGTGGTTCTTCTTGAACTGCTTCAGGATTGATCTGAACATCATTTCCAGAAATCTTCTCAAACTCAGCAAATTCCTTTGTTTCAGCTTTGGTATTGGAGCTACTTGATTCTATGGTTGCCCTGTCTTTGTACATTACATTCTCATTGAAAATGACATCTCTTCTTCTGATGATCTTCCGATTTTCATAGTCCCAAAATCGGTAACTGAACTTATCACCAACATAACCAACAAATGCACATTTGTTGGACTTAGCATTAAATTTACTTCTTTCAGCAGGTCTATGTGTACATAAGAAATACAACCAAACACTCTTAAGTGTGAAAGGTTTATTTCTTTATTGCTCCAAACTTCCTCTGGTATTCCGCCATCCAAGGGAATTGAGGGCCCATGGTTGATCAGGTAAGTTGCAGTGTTGATAACTTCAGCCCATAGAAATTTGGGCAATCTGGCATATATCCTCATGCTTCTGGGACGTTCATTTAGAGTTTTGTTCATGCGTTCTGCTACGCCATTCTATTTCAGTGTCATGGGAATTGTTGTCTCCATCTTGATCTCATTGTTTGCGCAGAAATCTCTAAATCTACTATTTCTATACTCTCCTCCATTGTCAGACCTCAATCGCTTGACTTTCAAACCAGTCTCATTTTCCACCATGACCTTTCATTTTCTGAAGGTATCAACGACTTCTGATTTCATCTTCAGAAAATAAACCCACACATTCCTTGTTGAATCATCGATGAAGGTGACATAATATAATGAGCCTGTAAGAGATGGAACTGGAGATGGTCCCCATACATCAGTATGAACCAACTCTAACTTTTCTGCCTTGGCTGTCTTGCCAATCTTTGTAAAACTGACTTCCTTTTTTTTGTCAAAGATGCAATCTTCACATAGTCCGACATCTACATTCTTTAGATCCGACAGCTTCCCTTTTGACAAAAGTGTCTTCATCCCTTTCTCGCACATATAGTCAAGCCTTTGGTGCCATAGGTTTGATTTTCCATCAGCATCTGCTGCAGCAATTATATTCTCTAAATTTGAGGTTATATAGAGAGTACCAGTCTTCTTACCACGAGCAATGACGAGTGCTCATTTGGTAATCTTCCATTCACAACTTGAAAAGGTTGTACTATATCCTTCTCCATCAAGCTGTCCTACAGAAATCAAATTTCTTTTGAGGCTAGGAATATGTCTCACTCCTTTCAGCTTCTAGGTGGTCTGGTTTGGAAACTTTAATCGGATGTCTCCTTTTCCGATGATCTTCAAGGTTTCATCATCAGCTAGATGAACCTTCCCAAAATCACCACTGACATAGTTCTCCATGATTTCTCGGCATGGGGTAGAGTGGAAAGATGCCTCTGAATCCAAGATCCATGGTTCAATCGGACTGTTGACACTTAGAATCATGGCATCACCTGTCTCCTCTGTCACGTTGGCAGATTCCTGTGCGCCGGTATTTTTCTTCGGTGCTCGGCAATCTCTTTTAAAGTGACCCTTCTTACTGCAGTTATAACAGGTAAAATCTTTCTTTCCCGTTCTTGATTTTCCCGTTCTGGATTTGGATCTGCCACGATTTGAATTTCTTTCTGAAGTTCTCCCTCTGGACTCCGTATGCAAGGCTGAGGAGGTTGATGCTTCACCCGATTCTCTCCATCGAATTTCTTCGCTCAGTACCAGATCCTAGACATCGTCGAATTTCAATTTACTATTTCCCGACGAGCTGCTAACTGCTGTAACAATAGCATTCCAACTGTCTGGTAGAGATGATAAGAGAATTAAAGCTCGAACTTCATCATCGAATTTAATTTCCACGGAACTCAATTGGGTTGTAATTGTGTTGAGTTCATTTAGGTGTTGAGTCACTGATGCTCCTTCCGCCATCCGCAAATTGAATAATCGCCTCATCAAATGAACTTTGTTTGAGGCCGATGGCTTCTCATACATACTGGAGAGAGCTGCCATAAGACCCACCGTGGTCTTTTCCTTTACTTTGCTGAAAGCAACATTTCGGGACAATGTTAGTCGGATAACTCCGAGGGCTTGTCTGTCGAGAAGAGCCCAGTCTTTATTCTTCATGCCCTCTGGTTGCTTTCTTGAGAGAGGTTGATATAGATTTTTCTGGTACATAAAATCTTCAATCTGCATCTTTCAAAAGCCAAAGTCCGCACCATCGAACTTTTCAATTTTCGCATTCCCTTCGTCTGCAGCCATCGCTCCCACTCGAATATGGCTTCTTTGGATCGTTTCTGACAATTCTTGCGAACCACCGTGTATTAGAACACCTCCGTCGACAAATTCATATCGTCGACAAAATTTTTACTTTTCATGAAATTCACTATTCATGTGAATAGTAATGAATAGTAACCTAGAAAAAAATTGATAAAATTCACAACCAAAAGCTCTGATTACCAGTTATTGGGAAATAAACCGAGTACGAGTAATTTCCCTATAACCAGATTAGTGAGAATGCAAAATAAAAGTGGAAAAATAATACCCGAAATTGATAACGGAGTTCAGCCAATTTGCTTACGTCTTCGGACTGCTGTAGATCTTTTACTAAGAGAGAAAATTTACAGGTGTTTACAAAACACTCACTACTCACAAGAAACCTCTCTAGTATTGGGAGAAAGAAATGATTTTTGGGATGATTTTGAAGCTAAATGAGGTAGGGTATTTATAGTTGAAGCTTAGGGACTAATTTTTGAAAATACCCTAAAGTGCAATGACAAAAAAAACTTTCCCCATTTTTTAAGCAGTCGACTGCCACTTTATTAATTTAACAGCCCATGTTCTTTGAATTTTCAATAGTAAGAGGGTTAAGCAACAGATCCAGGCTCGGCTGCTGCTGCTTGGGTGATGATGGCTCATGATTGGGGCTTTTGAATCTTGGGGTCTACGCTTTGAACTAGAGGCGGAGGCTAGACGAGGTTGGGCACCCCGTGGTAAATTTACATACAAATTCTCTTTAAAATTAGGGGAAAATACACAAATGAACTCCTGACTGTAGGGTTTCGCTTTGTTGAGTCTCACGACTATTAAAAGTTACAAAATGATCTCTCAACTATAGGACATTGCTTTGTTGAGTCAATCGATTATTAAAAATTACAACCGAACTATTTATATGTTCTAAACTTGTTCTTTTATGTTAAAAGATATCTGCTTGTCTGAATTGAAAGTTAAAAATGCTATATAAATATGATAGTCTTTTGAGATTCTAGGATCAAGTTTTATCATATCCCAAAAATGAGTTTTTTTTAATGTCCCAAAAATGAGTTTGGAACATATGAATAGTGGGGTGACCACTTTGTAACTTTTAATTGTTAAATGACTTAACAAAGTAATGCCCTATAATTGGGGATAATTTTTACAACTTTGAATAGTCATTAGACTCGGTAAAGTATCGCCCTATAATTGGAGACCAATTGGGTACTTTACCTTTAAAATTATAAAATTATAATTTATTAAATTGGAAAATTATATTACATTCAACAAAGTTTGAATTAATAAAAAAATAATTGATCTTATTGAGTATATTCTGTGGAAGCAGACCCCAAATAGCTTAAGGAGTTAAAACAGAACATTCCTTTAGCTTTCACACGCATGATAGAAGAAAATGGACTTTGCCTCATTCCATTCCTGCTAGCAGGTTTGGAGCAGAATTCACATTACAAGTTGAAGGTTTCTTCATGTGAATCAAAGCCATAGATCATCTGCAACTGGTAAAATTTTCCAGGAAAAAAGAAAACAAAATACTTTAGCATGTGGAAATAATGACATGTGTCCTGGATTTAAATAGCGGTATCTATACGTCCGAAACTGTTATTGCACGATCCCGATATTTGAAATGACTATAATAACATTCGTTATGTCCGCAGTTGTAATAAACGCAGAACAATTGAAAATGGGAGCGCAACCACAATTTAAATCCCTAATCCACCTGCATTTGGTCGAATACATATTGGGTAAGGGTAAACCTTTAGACGATAGCGGAACGACGACGACATGCATGGCGGCATTATTGGGAGGAAGCTGCAAACGAAGGGGATAAAGACTGCCGTTCAATGGATTACGAGAACAAAGAGAAAACTCTTCCTTCACAGGAGCCTCTTCCTCCAACGCTTGCTTCAATTCCTCAACGCTATTCCCTTTAAAAGTGAAGCTACGCTCTCCAATGCTTTGATCCACATCGCCATTATCATCGACTACCTCGTACTTAATCATCCTTCCTTCAAACACCTTTGGCGATACTATTGTCGAGTCATCCGACTGCATACATAGAGATTAACGTATGATTTTATATTAATAGAGGTGAACTTTCAAATTTTAAGAAGGAACAAATTTATAGAAGTTTAGGATGTGAAAATAGATTTTCAATAGAAAATATATAAAAATTCTAAAATCAACCCAAAGATGATTGATTAAAAGAAGTGAAAAGCTTGTTCCTCAAACCTCAAGTCTAGTCATTCTAGGTCCGGTAAGTGAAAAGCTTGTATCTTCAGTGCTTGCAATTCTATCGATTCCGTTAACCGGCACTTGATGAGGTGGAGGAGGAAGCGTCGGGGCTTCCGCATCTCGGCGGTAACGTAAAACATCGACATGCCATACGATCCAATCTTGATGCGAGGTCCTATAAGGAGTATCATGTGTGACATGGTTCCTCCATGGCGGCAACCCTCCGTTGGCTCGTAAATACAGGCCGTATCGAGTCTTGAGCCGAACCAAGGCACCTTCTTGAATCGGTTCCCATTCGACGGAAGAATCAAGTCGTTTGGGTAACGTCTGCAACACCTTCTTTCCGGTCATCCCCAATAGGAAAGGCATGTTGGAAGCCGTCAAGTATTTTCCATAACAGCTTTTGAGACGAATGTGGGTTGAATTCACGAATTCCACCGTCCATCTCGCGTTCTTCCCTGTCCCACCTCGTTCTTGGGAAACAGTTTCCTCATCCTCGTCCGCAAGTAAGTACTTTTCGTGGTGGCTACGTAATCGAACAACGCTTGCTTCTTCGAAGATCTCCATGGCAGCACTATAACAAAAAAAAAAAAAAATATATATATATATATATATATATATATAAAACAAAATCTATGGTGTTTAATCAATTTTAACCTTTATTATACTTTCGTATTATTTCTTACCTAAATACGAAGATTTATATGGCCACCCGGAAACTGTTTGGAAGAAAAGAAAATTTTAGGAGACTAAATGGCCTAAAAGTTTAATATTTTTTTTCAATGAAGTGCTAATTTTATAAGTTGATTATGGAACCGACATTTTAGGGAGTTTTTGTGATTAAAATATTTTTATACAAAATCCTAAAAATGTCTAATTAAAATTAAAATTATCTAATTATGTTTCTTTGGACTTCAATGAATGAGAATTTAAAGAAACGCATAAACACGATTACCTTAACAACTCGGAGTATGAATATGACTTCACCACAAAACTCAATAAAGAAACGCATTGAAAACATATTCAAAGACACTAGCAAAAACACTTTAAAAAACGTACCCAAAGAGCATATAAATTTATAAATCAAATGATGAAGACCAAAGACGATGAGTGGCATCCTTACATGGAAGGCGGAGTGTCTAACCCTAGAACAATCTAACCCTAATTATAAAAACTAATAGAAGGCAAAGACTTGGGTGGCCACGTCTTGGCTGTTGATCCTACTAAATCTGATGTATGAGATTATAATCTATGTTGGAATTAAATACTTGGGCAGTTGGGATGTCACCCCTTACCAATCCTAGATCCAACGGCAAGGTTACGATTAAATGAATTATTAAACATAATATAAAGCCTAAAAACATAAATTAAAATAAAGATTTGTTGGGTTAAAAGACCCAATTTAGCCTAATGCTTTATAAACTAGTTTTAGGTTGAATTATTACATTTAATTGACCTAATGAATGAACTTCAAAATTAATTGAAGACTTATCTTCCAAAGTTTGAGCGTGTAGATTAATTAGGGTAGTCAATTGTTAATTTGTGACTCAATTATTTTTGGACGTACTGTGTATGTATTGTACTTCTTTCTTGTTCGCCTTTCTTCTTGAAATATATGATTATGTTGTTGAAATTCTTGATTTCTCAAGAAGGTTTGAAGACCTTGCTTATAAAGTCTTGTACAGTTGCATGTAACTTTGCTCTTGTGATTGTATTATGATCATGTACCTTGGTGCATGTATCATTCCCCCTCCTCAAAAAGATTCGTTCTCGAATCTGAAAAATCAAACAGAAAAATATCAGAAAATTAAAAGAGGAATTCATACTATATTCACCAAATAAATCAATGCGATCTACATTGACAATGATGCGTTCCGATACTTGAAAAGTCTCTTTCCTATTGAAAAATCAAAATTTTGCTGATATTCTACATGGGGAAATTTTTTACAAGGGTGATTAAAGGCGGCACTAAAAGCTGAAAAGGATTCGTAGTCTAATGGTCCATTGGTGTTTTGATGCAACTCTTCGGAATAAATGAGTTTAAGGAATGATTTGTTTGAATAATTTATCGTGACTAATTCTTTTGTGATGAGGTATTCCATGTTCATCGTACTAATTGTTGATGAGAATAAGTGAGTTGTATCGGTCGTTAACGATTCACCCTTTCTGGTTTAAACAGAGAACTGTAACTAGTATAAAGATGACCATCAATTTATTTTTTTTGTGGGGAAAATGAAGAGATAAAGAGGGGATATAGGAGTGAAGCAGAAGGAAGACAATTTGAATCTTCCTCTCAGTCATGATTGATAGGTATTTATAATGATTCCAACTTATGTTGCTAGACATAGGTTAATTATAGCTACACATAGGTCAGCAGGCTAAATAGATTTGATTGTCAAATCTTAAATTTCATTATGGTTGGTTAGATAGATATGTCAGATGTCATTTCTTTGTACTGTAGTTGGTTTGGAGACTTGTTCTCAGAGAATATAAGCTCCTTAAAGGCTCTTGTAAGCAAAGAGGTTTATTCGGAGGTCTTAGATAAGAAGACTAACAATTTCAAAGGTTATCTCCTAATGTATAACAAATATATATATATATGTTGGGAAAAAGGATGGACTACATTGATGAATCTAATATTTATATTAAATTCAGAGTCTTTTTAGATATTGCAAATTAAAAGATATGGTTTAATTTGAATATCAATAGGATAATTACTCTTTTAATATGTTAATTTAAAATTGTATGTGTTACCTTTTTAACTTTGAATATTAAAAGATAATTATATACTTTTTTTGAATTGTCACACCCCCAATTTATGGGCTAAATTTTAGAAATTATAAAGTATTGGATTTAATTGGTATTTTTGGAAGAAAATGAGGATTAAATTGTAAAATCGTAAAGTTTGTAGACCATTTTAGGAACTACAGGAAAATCAATGACCAAACTCATAATTTACCCAATTTTTCTTAGGAGAGAATTATAAACTCTCTCCCCCGGTATGTTTTCTGCAGAAATTTCCATCTTTCCTCTCCCCAGTCAACGATTTTGAACTCTGATTTCTCCACCGTCTGGCCACCGTTCGACAATCCGAAACCACCATCGTGTTCACTGTCAACTAAAGAAAAAAAACCCTTCAAACCTCTCGTCGTGAATCGGCATCGTTCGCCGTAAATCTCAATTGGAAGTATCGTCGGTTTTAAATCAATTTCAGTTGGTTTTTCGTCGATTCACGTCGATCCGGCCACCCGTTTTGGACACCTTCTGCACCATTGTGTTCCTTGTATTGTTTCGAGTCCACCGGTGTCCGTCGCGTCTCTGTAGTCGCTGACGCGTGGAGAGGTGAGGAAGTCAAAGTTTCTGACGTTTCAAAATCGAGCTGTCCATCGTTCAAAATTATGAATCGAGCTTGGTAAGTGTCTCAAAATGCCATAAAATATTTTTATAAATTTTTCGGACACCGTAGCATTGTTCACGCGCCACCCCTGCGCATATTTTAGTCAAACCCGTTGACTTTGATCAAAAAGTTAAAATTTTTGAAAAGTCATATTTTATGTTTTCGACGTCCTGAATCTGAATCCGAAGTCCATTTCATCAAATTCGAACCCGGTAAACTGTTTTTGACTGATTAATCACTCGATTCGATCTATTTTTCGCAATTAATCTCCATTTTTAATGAAATTTCTATTGATATGTATCCAAGGAATTATTGAAAGTTGATTTCAAGATCGAGAACGTTCGAATGGAGTTTAAATGGTCAATCAGTATGGCACGAAAATCGAGGTAATACGTTACTACCTCTTTATTCTTTATGGAACATGTTGATATTGACAAATGCATGAATAAGATAATGTTTGGTCTCATCAAGCTAGTTAATTAACTCATACACTCGATATGAATGTGGTAAAAATTTGGTAACTGAATACGGCTCGGATGATTAATATAAGAAATTGACGGATTGCTAGAATTAAATTACGAGTTCTGTGAGTAGTGATAAAGGAATTAGCTGGATATGTAACTTATAATTTATATCATCAAAGGTTAAATGTTAAAGGCACTTGAATGAGAAATTATGAGAATACTCCGGTTGGGTAAAATTACGAAAATACCCTTATATTGTAAAATGACAAGAATTGTCCCTGAAAGTTTATTAATAACTCTGAAAAGGCATATTGATCTGATAAAACTAAAAATGTGCATAAGAAATGCTAGTTTTGCTTAAGAAATTTGGATAATCGGTTTTTAACCCCAAGAAGGTTTGTGCAAGATACTAGAAGTCTGTTAAGGAATCATTTCAAGATCAGAAAATGTTCGGGAAAGTAATTAACCCTAGGATATTTAAATTATATTAATTTCGTTAAGAGTTAATACCGAAATTAGCTGGTTAAGAAATTACGAAAATGCCCTTGAGAGGTAAAAAAAGTTTAAGTTAACCCTGAATGAAAAAGTACTTTAAGGATTCGTACTTAACTCGATAAATTACAGATTTAATTGTTAAGATCCGTCTTTGTACAGAAAATTCCTGATAACCTGTTTGTAACTTCTGAGAAGGCAATTCACCTGAAAATCTACAAGTTAAGAATAAATTATCGAGGGTGCTCTTTTGTCAGAATTGTTCAAAAGGTCTGGAAAAGATGATACGTTTGGCCTAGATTATGGCCTAGATTAAGTAAATGTCTTGGGTTAATTAAGGAATCTAAATAAACATGGGTGTTGGACTACCCTTAAAAGTTATGAAACTCAACTTAAGTGAGTTGACCAACGCTAATGCTATGTCAGTACCTGAATAACATAAATACCACTTGAATCATTGTTCGTTTCCTCAAGTTTGGATCGATGATAATTCTGGAAGTACTAAGCTCATGTCAACTCTAAAGAGAATTCGGTACTAAGAAATAGATATTCGTTAGACAAATTAGCCACAAATACCAAATTGAACTGAACGGAAGTACAATATATATCCGAAATTCAAAAACATCCGGATTACTCTGGAGTAACCGGGATAGACTTGACTACTAAATAAACTAAGTAACCTCAATGATTGAGGTTAAGTAAGCGATTGAGATAAGTCTGGAAACTCGGATGAACTTACATGATGTATCATTCATATGGGTTATGAACCATAAATCAAGTACGTCAGTATTTTCTGATAAAGTTGAAACATAGAAATGAAATAAAGACCATTAGAATATTTGTTCGTCTCTCAACATGCATTAATTCTGGGAGTTGTTCAGCTTGAGTTATTTTGATAATCCGATAGATCGACACAGACTGTAAATGTCCTGAACCTTTATTTCTTTCTTATTAGCTCAAATCACATTCTAAATAACTAATGAATCCGTCAGTTAATGAACTATTCCGATTGTGATTCTAACTTTCGGTATTCTATCGGTATACTGAAGATCTGTGTTTCTCTGCCCAATAAGATTATCCAGTATCTATGAATAATATCTGATAAATACTTTGATCCTCTAGTGTATTCCACATGTACTACATGACGGTTTTATATGTTTGAAATGAGTTTTAACAAAAAATATTGATATACTGGTTTATGAACCATGGAAATATTTATGA